ATATATATATATATATATATATATATATATACCGGTATATATATTCACAGTGTTTAACTGAACCCAACATAATAAATACTTAATCACATTTGCCCTCATAATTTCTAATTTATCTTTAAGTTCCCAGTTTAATTCTTTAACTTCAACATACTTTTCTGCAGCTGTCACTATTATTTTGAATTTTTTCGTTTTTTCCCGTCATCTGTGCACTACAATTGATCACTTCAACCATGAAAAGAACAAAATCTTTCTTTGTTGCAATCAATTAATATTAAATTTTGGGACATTGCTCCAGAGGTTTTGAATTTGCCATGTGCTGAACTGTTGTTTTGGGTTTTTCTGACTGGAATGGGATCCTTTTTGCAGCTTCAGCATATGTTATTCCGAACTCAAATTTCATTTTTTTTTTTTCTTTTTTTCTTCAGACCTTTTACTCACTTCACAGCCACGATATGCAGCAGTATGTTCTCCACCACAGTTACAGCATTTGATTTTAGCTTCTTTCCCACATTTTCCATATTCGTGCTCTCCAGCACACCTTCAATATCACTGTTTTCCTTTACATAATGCTGCTATATGTCCAAGTTCTTGGCATTTAAAGAATCTCAGAGGCGGAAATTGTAACTCATTTATCCAATGAAAACTTTGCTGGGTAATTGCTCTTCTTCAAAGCTCACTGGTTTTTGTATTGGAAGACAGCAAGGCAGAGCAAGCGGGCGATAGCAATCACGAGTATGAACAGCAGCTGAGGAGAGTTACTGTAAGATAGGGAGCTGAGAAAGAGAGCAACAGGAAGTTGTTTGCCAACCACCATTAAAATACAGAGGAAGAAGAAAAAGAAAACAACAGAATTTGAGCAGAAAGAAATAAGCGATATTTGTACCACTATTATCTATCATAAACAAGCATAGGAATAAACTACCCATCTGTGTGAACTAAAAAGGCAAAACAAAGAAAATATAAACCACATAGAAGGAACTTATGGCCTAAATCTAAATAAGCCCCCCCCCCCCAAAAAAAATTCAAGGATCATTAAAAATAATTAATGTGTTTCAGTTAGATTTTGGCCTCTGGATCATTCTGAATAAACGAAGAATTTAATTCAGTGTGTACTTCATTGCAGCTTCGGTGCAAAATCTTTTTTAATTGTCAACATGCAACAGGCAAAGAGTGCAGGAAAACTAAGTGGGGCACTTTTAATTAAGATAACAACAAAAGAAAAAAACATATCATACAAATACAATTTAGAAAAAGAGCTGGATAGAAATAACAAATTAAAAATGTAGATTTTAGCTGTCCCTTAGAGATGAAGATGGAAAAAAAACACTTTAAGTTCATTTGGCCGCTCTTCCCAAAAAAATTAGCTACCAAGTGTTATGTTTAAGACAGAAATGCAGTGAAATAACAAGAGAAAAATATATCAAAGATTAATAAAACACATGTAAATGTGGCAAATGTTTCCACTAAATATTTTGTATGATAGTATTGTTGTAATAAAGTAATGGGGATTAAATACAAATAGGATCCATTTCAATATATATTTTTCTTCATTTTCACTGTTATTCTTAATCATTTGGTCTATCACGGAAAACTCCAACAAAATAAATTAAAGTTGGTGGGTTTATGATGCCACAAGGGCAAAACAGTTAAAATACTACAAGCACTTTTGGGAAGCTGTATGTGTACATTTGGAGTGCACATTTTATTAATCCCGATATACACTTATACTCCCAAGGATTAAATTTTGTTTCTGATTCACCCTCATATTTCTTTTTGTTTACCCATTTTTCTCAGTGAGTATGCCAGCCAGTGAAAACGAATCAGTCAACACAGATAACGCCCCCGGAGGAGACGTGGAGGGGGAGACATGCTGCACCAGGCTGGCGTGAGTACCTCACCCTCTTACACAAACAAACACACCTCTTCTTCAGCTCTTTTGATCACCATCATTCCCATGGATGAGTCCTCGCCCTGCCTGGATTTTTGTCTTTATCACTGGCACTGCTGTGATGGACATGGTAGAATTTGGTGTCTCAGCTTTTCTCTGCACTTCAGTGATCTAACTAAGGCAGCCATGGTCTAATGCCTCATTGAGTTTTTTAGGCATCCATGCATTAAAGGTTGGTGGGGTACATGCTCCACACAGATAAAACATTAAGGTAAAGGTGAATGTATCTGTGGAGACACATAGCTGGGTTTTCTTCTCACAGGTCAGTTGTAAGGCTGTAAGGCACCTTTGTCTTTTATGGAATCCCATTTCTGGAATAATAATTCAAAAGAATCCCTCCATTATTTTCTATATGTGTTTATGTTTATGTATGGTATAACGGGACATTTCACTGGCTGTGTTTCTGATCATTCTCCACCCGAGCTAATGTTGGCTGTTGAAACGCTTTCTTTCTCCCCTGTGGGAGTTCACAAACAGCTGACTCACTAACTCCTGTAATCCCCTGATGCTTTCCTTCTTATTTTACATTATTCAAACAAATGAGTTGCTTTCTTTCTTTGATGCAGGGCATCACAGCTGCCGTGACCCTCAGTGAGCCTCTACATTAACATGCAGAAGCCAGTACATACACATACAGAGCTGCTCATCAATAAAACAAATTACTTCAAATTATAACTATATGAAACAAAAAAGAGAAAAACTTTTTATTAACTGAATAATAAAAAAAAACATGCAAGGATGACCCTTTTTTCTACCCTTATTGTCTGCGGCGTATTTTCTTTTTATTGATTTGTTTAGTTGTATTTGACACTGTCAAACTAAATCAACTTGAACTTAAATAATTGAATAATGACCACTTAAAATAAATGCATTTACATATTTTAGTTAAGTTTACTCGAGTAAATCTTATCGATCTACGTTTCTGTCTGTCTGTCTAATGTACATCCATTATTCATCTCTCGTCTATCAGACATGTACAATCCATGCATCCATCTATCCATGCGTCCATTCATCCATCCATCTTGCCATCCTTCCATCCATCCATCCATCCATCCATCCATCCATCCATCCATCCATCCATCCATCCATCCATCCATCCATCCATCTTTTGTCTTATCCATTAACTAATCATGTTTATCCAACCATAAACCTATTTCTTTGTCCATCCATTAATCATTCAGCTAACTATCCTTTTTTTTTGTCTTTTCATGTATTAATTTAGTCTACACATTTCCCCCTCCATCAGTATATTTGTTCATGGATTAATCCCAGTAATTTATACGTCTGCTTGCCAGTCATCTATTAATCTTTTATTGTCTTTTTATTTATTTTGCCATTTGTTGATCTATATCTATTGACACTCATCAGTCTATCCAAGTCAGTTCTACCTCCCTGCTTCATTTTTTAAACTTGACCTCTTTACAAATATCTGCCAAGGTATCGAAAAAGATTTTACTGATTACAGCTTTAAGAATGGCTTTAAAGAATTGGGAATTTGGAAAAAATCAAATCTGGTGAGATTTACTATTTTGAATCTTGAAATCTTGAAAAAAAAAATTTTTAATTTGAGAAAAAAAAAATCTATTTTGCAATTTGTGATTTTAGAGAGAATCATTTTATGTTTTATGTTGTGTTATCAACCTGGTTTTTTTGATCTGAGAAGATCAATAAGATAGGAAGATAGAAAAAAGATTTTATATATATATATATATATATATATATATATATATATATATATATATATATATATATATATATATATATATATATATAAATATTAGTTTGTTTGTTTACTTAAACCCTAAACAAATGCGTTTTAAATCTAATTTTAAAGCAGCTGATGGTTTCTGAACTTTTACAGTTTTCTGTGAATTTCTCCCAGATTAGTAGAGCATTACGAACTAAAAGCTTCATGTTTGGTTTTGGTTCAGGGTGTACTAGATTGTTGGATTGTTGATATGCAAAAATGAAGTCCGTATATCAACTTTATTTTATGCAAATATTTTACTCAAGTGGTCTATATATATATATATTATATTATATATATATATATAATATAATATATATAATATAATATCTTATCGTTGATCATTTTTTTTATTTTGGAACATTATTTTTTTACATAAAAAAATAACCATCCTTTGACAAAACAAGTAAATAAGTGTGTTTAATTCGGATATAGAGATTTACTGGGACAAAAAAATATCTGCAGGAGTTTTCTTCCATTTGAGTTTAAAAACTATAGGCTTTCAGTGTTTGTCAGTTCTTATTCACGTTGCCAGGAGACAGGCCCTTGGGTACCAGCTACTTCAGCACCTGCTGATCTCTTTACTGAGATGGACACATAAAGGGAAGTATGCACTGTCAGGCCCCATATCCAGCCAGTCAGTCATTCTTATTCATTCTTTCAGGGCATCAATAAGTCGCTTCATTGTTTCCGTCAGCTGTTCAGTCAGCCAGTGAGTCAGCTGCTCCATCACTTCATCAGATTTTGTCAACCAAATCAGAGGACATTTAAACACGTCTGATAAAAAAAACTAAAAAGATGTTTTAGACAATAGTTTTCAATTTAATCTTTTGATTTTGGTACTTTCTATAGATATTTTTCTCTTCTCTTCTGTCCAAATGTTCTCCATAATATCTCGTCCTCGCTTCTCCTTGTTCAAACTTTTGGATGTTACAGTGGTGAACAATCAACAGACTTTATTTGTAATTGTGTTTTTTTACACAGGGATTGACTGAAAGAAAATTAAACTAAGATTATTTTCTTTTGACTGGATGCCACTGTTTTTTTGTGTGTACTGTCTATATATGTTTAAGAGAGTGATTTGTTAGCAAAATTTAGAAGAACATTGTTGATTTTTTTAGGATTATTACAAAAAAAAACTACCACAAAAATGTTAAGTAGAAAACCAATGTGGGTACATCAAAACAGTTTACTGTACCAATTCTTACCAACCAAAAGCAGACATATTTACTGCAAATCCTTTCTCCAAAAACGAGGGAAACTAGATCTCCTTCTATCATTTTCAAATCACCTCTGTCTTGCGTTTTTGTCTGTCTATGTGTTTTTGTATAATCCATTTTGTTTTCTGTGTTCCAGAACTAGGATCTCCAAATCCAAGTTCAGGTTAGTACATGTTTACCATAGTCTTATACTGAAACGGTTCTTGTTTCATGGCTGTGCGTGTGAGTGCATATTTGTGGTTTGGTACCAGTGTTAAGAAGAAAAAACTTAAGAGAACTTATGAAACTAACATAATCAAACTAACAGAAAAGGACTCTAGGTTAGACTAATAATTCACTAATAACAGTAACAGAAATATCTGTAATAAATAAAAGTTAATTTGTGTATTTTTATACAGCAGAATAACCTATTTATTATAAAACCTTTTTATTTTTGAAACTATAGTTAAAATCAAATATTTCCACTTCTTTTAGGGGTATATAACCTTGTCTTTTTCTCCACGTCTGACATTGAAGTAGACCAAAGTTTGCCTGATTAATTTAAGTTAGTTTGATACATTTTAAGTTTCACCAAAATAATTCAATTTCTTTTTACTAAGAAAGAAGGTGAGATTTAGCCAACCTCGCCTCTTCACTCCACAAGTTTTGGACTCGTATAAGCACTTTGCAGCGGGCCCCTACAAAACTTTGATTTTTTTTTTTTTTTTCAGATAATGCAGTAATATTTACACATATTTAAATATAATTTCCTCATGATGCCATCTGCATTGTAGGGAATCAATCCAACCTGCAGCAAAATATGCACATAACGCCATGCTGCTATAAACGTACTTACTATTTAGGAAGGAGTTTTATTCTTGCAGAACATCCCGCTCCATCCTTCTGGAGATACACATTTCTTTAGCTGGTATCTGGCGGATTTCTTTTGGATTTGTCATGGCCTTAAACATTCACAGGTGGGCCTGTATATAACTCACATATTGTAAATAAATTCATTATTTAAAAAGAAGCTTAAAAAGCCCTAAAATCATCTGGGCTCTCTAATATCGATTGCACAGAAGTCTAAGTGCACGTAAATGTCTGGTTGTGAAAAAGTAATAGAAAACATTTCTTAAAATAACCTTGCTCAATGTTCTGGAATCTGGATGATAAAATATTGGTTATTCTGACTGATTTGAAAACAGTAATAATAGAAATATTGCATTTCATCTGGGTTTTATTTTATTTTATTTTTTCAGTTATAGAGCTAAAAGGATCTTGATGTAGTACCATCATATATGAGAACTTTCTAAAACTTAATACTCTTCTGTAATTCTAAATCTAATGTTATCTGACAGATGCTTTCAAATAGATGTTTTCTATTAGGAAAGAAAAATATTAGTGAAGGATGGCAATAAGTTTCAAAATCACAAATATGACTATAGCATTAAGGAGTGGTCTGTTTGTGCTTGTAATGTGCTGTGGGTTATGTCTTGTGTGGGCCGAAACTAAAAGAAAAGAGATTTAGCAATAAAACCAGCTGTGTTCTAATTCATGAATATTCCTATACACTTGTTTAGAAAAAGGAAAAAATCAAAAAGAAAAAGCGGATTTGACACCTTCATTAAAATGTTTATTGAATCCTTGAACAGTACAGGTTTTTCCTCGTTAAAGCAAATATTCTTCCTTATGGTCATTTATATTTTTAGAAACATTATTTTCTTCTGAAAACTAAATGTCAAACTAAGTTGACAAGTGAAGGGCTGAACAGCAGAACGTTAGCTGGTTAATTTGTCCGACTGCTCAGTTAGCCATCCTGCAGTTAGACACACTCCTTGTACTTTAGCAAATGAAATTTAAAAAAAACAATTACTTTGCAAAATGTATTTAAGTTCCATTGCTGATTATGATTTGCAAAATTGTAAGGATATCTAAGCAGCAACATCGTTACTAGCATGGAAAAATCATAATAGCCTTGTTTGAGCAAAGACAGGTAAAGTAAGTTCACCTTTGTGTAAAGCTATTCAACATGCAGCAGAAAAAAAGTATCCTTAGACTTGGACGCTTTAAAATCCCCCAAAAAGTGTTTAACATCAGAAACCTTTACTTTTTAATCTGCACCCTCTAAAGCTGTATAATAGAAACTAGCCTATGTTCAACGGCTACATTCTTGCCTATGGAAATTATTTAAAAGGAGTATTTGCTTCTCAGAAAAAAAAATAAATGTTTTCTTTAAACTAGGGCTGAAACAATTAATAGAATTAATCGCGAGTACTCGATCATTGAAATAATCATCAACAAATTTGGTAATCAATTAAACGTTAA